TGAATTTTGTAAAGTAGAACAGGCAGATTAAGAGCCAGTAGGATGCACTAGAAGTTAGCATGCCAAGAGCAATTTAAACAAATATTAAATACTTGCTCTCATAGATACTGAGATGTTTCTCTGTTTCTTAGTTTTACACTAAGCTGGCAACTAATACAAGAAAAAAACCACATCTATTAACATGACTATCAGTTTACATATAAACAGATACCATATTTCCTTTTCAATTTAATTGAACTTAAATTTTGTCCAGCATATTGCCAGAGAATCTGGTCAGGCAATCTGCTTTTACAACCCATTCATGACACCAAGTTAGCACATCCCAAGGGGATAGAAGAAATTGTTTCGGTGTGTCATGCTGCATTCAGACTTCTTTCCAAGTGAGCCTAATTACAGAAGAGCCATTAGCCAAAGGGTCCTGTGGTTCTGCAGTGCATAAGCAGAGGACTGCATACCTGTCCTGCTTGGAGACTTCCTATTGACATAAGAGAAATAACTTTTCCCATCATGGCCCCAATAAAAAAAAAAGATAAAAAAAAAAAAAGAAAAAGAATAAAGGTCAGAAAAATAATGTTTTTGCAGGTGTAATGACTTTTGTCAGGAAAAAAAAAATCAATCTCTTATTTAAAAGCAAATGTGTTTTAGTACTATTTGAGAGCCATTCTGTCATTTAAAAAATAAACGCACCACATTTAAAAATGCTGCCTCCATTGTTTACTTACATGTTATTAATAATTAGACTACTAAATTTAATATTGTGCAATTGAGTAAGCACCCAAATCTCATCCTGTAATAACATCTTACTGAAACCTTCAAAGGGAGGAACAATCAATTTCATTTTTGTCAAACCTCAGCTGTAACTTGAAATATCAAACTCTTCCTGACTTACAAGCGCAATCAATAAGCATCAAAACCATAGGTCCTTATGTAAGTGAAAAATACTGTAATAATGTATCTTCCTTATCTTGCTGATACTCCTGAAAACAGTTGCTTCTAGGAACTGTTGAAATGTATGTTTGAAATCCTAACAAAGATATGCTGGAATTTTTGCAAGTGATAGGCTCTAAAAATCATATCACACTGAACCATGAAATAGAAAATGTATCTGAAATTTAGTGCAAAATTTAACACTCATGAGTTCTGCTGATTCTGTTAGCTGCTCCATTTACATGCCAATCTACAGCCATACCTAAAAATGCATTTCTTAAAACCCTTAAAATAAGCTTCTCCGGCACTTCCTTTGTAGCTTAAGTTGATTTTACACGTGTCTTGAGAAACAAATACTTAACACCGAACCACAGCCATTAAAATGATACCATCCATCAGCAAAGGTAAATTATGCAAATGAGAATTATGCAAACACCTTTTTTTTAGTTGCTACTATTTCTATTTTGTGCAGCTGTCTGTCAGAGTTCATTATGTGAGGATGAAATTATTTTAGTAGCATTATTCAAAAAAAACACAGCAAAGTTACAAGCTCGTGTCACTGATGAGCTATTTATTGTTTTTAACGTCCCTTAAGGTATCTGACAAACAGAACTCGAGCACAGTAGCTGGAGTTCCCTCCCAAAAGCATCTTTCTTGCAATTCATAAAAAGTCATGCAACTGATATTCAGAAATAAATACTTTGCTTCCTACCAGCAGCTTAGAGGGGTATCTCCTTTGGTACGTATACACGGCACAGCCTGCTACTCCTTTTTTCAGAGCCTCTCTTATATAACAGACTGCAAAAACCATCTCTGAACAACGTGATCAAGATGCGATCTCCTGTTCCGGTACCACAACATTCAACACAATCACATTCAACGGAGTCCCGAGCCATTAATCAATTTCTTACTAACAAGGATGATCTATTGCAAGTTCTCTGCAGTTTTGCAGGATTGCAGACTGAGAGTCAGTCGAGGCTCCCAAAGGGTAAAGTCATTCACAGACTGAAAAGGCACAGCTTCACCAACTTGGCTCAGAATCAGTCTCACAAGGGTATTTGATCATCGTAGAATGTCCGAGTTTTCCTTATGTATCACAGTCTTCCAAGGTGGTTTGGGTTTAGGGTTGGGGCTGCTCCCCAGATAACCTGTGTAAAGGTAAATAGGTTCACAAAAGCCCTCAAGCCCTTCGAGTCTCAGAGGCCCACACGTCGGATACGCAGCAGCTCTCTCCGGAAACCTACCCCTAACTCTCTCACACCGTGTCAGTCATACATTGACCAACTAATGAAACTGTTTGAAACATACCAACCCAGCCTACACGCCTTAGATAATCAGTCCCATTTTTACGACAGGATGTTAACTAATCCTGAACTCGAGGACAAAGGTATTTTCCCCGCTCTCGATTTTGCAAAAGCCCACAACACACTGACATAAATTCCATATAATTCTGGGTAGTCCTCTCGCTATCTTAAGGTACATCAGGTCTTGGCATAACCTATGGAGGGGTTTGCTACGAATTACAGCTCAGGCCGATTCACTGTTTGCAATTTACATACAGACTACCTACAGAGACTGTGAAAATAAACGTGCAATGTGAAGTTTTTACTTTATCTTGCCATTGACAATATAACACATACATGTTTTAAGGGGCATGAATATCTGTTACTGCAGCCAACAAAGTTACCAGTGAGCTGTTTAATAAAGGGCCGGCTCATTTCTAAATATTTTCTGCAAGTTTTGGATATTTTTCTATAATGCATAGGGTTAATCACGACACTCTGAATCTGAACAAAGCACACCCTGACACTTAAACTACGAAAGAAAATGTCTCTGCACAAGATGCTGTATCCCAGTCTTTCATGTATTCGTGCCTCCAATTCGTGCCACCAATCCCTCCAGGGGAAATTTAACATGGTTTCTGAAATGATCCCTCTTCAGGCTTTTTGTATTTTTCTCCGAGATCCACGGCCAGATGAATTTGTGTATTACATGTACTGCCTGCGCTGCTGCACCTCCTCTGGGGTGACTTGATTCAGCTGAAGCTACGCTTTGACCGATCGATGCAAGCACATTACACACCAGCGTAAGAGTAAGGTAAGGGTAAAGGAAAGAAAAAGCATCTTTCCTTTCAGCCATTAAATATAGATCAACGAAACATCACATTGCACATCGCGGCTCCCCTCCCCACCCCCCGCCGCCCGCTCCTCCAGCGCAGGATTTCGCAGACGGTGGCTTCAAAGGAAGAAACGGCACACACACACACGGAGACACACAGACACACAGACAGACAGACGGGCTGCAGCCGCCGCTCGGAGCCGCCCCAGGGCCCGGGCCATCGCGCCCGCACCTCCCGCCCGGGCTCCGCGCAGGGCCGGGCGCTGCCCCCGCCCGCGGGCTCGGGACCGCGGCTCCCCCGGCCCCTTCCTCCTCCTCCTCCTCCTCCCCGGCCCAGGAGCTCTTACAGGTTCATTTTCCAGACCAGCTGCATATTGATAAATAATTATGCAATATTTAGTGGGTATTTGCTGACTGCAAAGGAAAGCAAGCCTGCAGTGATCTGCAGAAAAACAAGGCAGGGATCATCTTTTCAAGCCTCAACAAAGGAGTTTTGTTGGGTGACTGGCTCCCGGCAGCATCTGCAGTGGAAACAGTTAACAGG